GGCTACTGCTCAGACCCCTCTCCAGAAAACCGATATCAAGTTTTTCTATTTGCTCTCCAAGGAGACAAGAGAATAAATCCACACCATCTTCCCTGGGACATCCCTTCAAGGACCGGAAGACTGCTCTCGTGTCTCCTCTTAGCCTTCTCTTCTTTATGCTCAATATACCCAGTTCTTTTTACCGTTCTTCATAGGACTGAGCCTCCAAGCCCCTCACCATCTTCACTGCTCTTCTCTGCCCTCTTTCCAGCTCCTTAGCATCTTTCTGGTATTGGGGCTCAAATCTGAATTGATCTCATGGACTTACTTTTAAGAATTGGTGCAGATATAGTTGAAAGATGGGAACCTATCATGGTTGTCTTGGTGGCTACTGCTCAGACCCCTCTCCAGAAAACCGATATCAAGTTTTTCTATTTGCTCTCCAAGGAGACAAGAGAATAAATCCACACCATCTTCCCTGGGACATCCCTTCAAGGACTGGAAGACTGTTCTCATATCTCCTCTTAGCCTTCTCCCTACACTAAGTATAACCAGCTGAGAAGGCAGAGAGCAACTGAGTTGGGTAAAAACAGAACTGAAACAACAGAAAGCCAAGATGATCCGGGGGTGAGGGGGAGAAAAGTCAGGGATTGCTCACACTTGCCACTTGACATGGAAAGAGGAACTTGTAGTTGCTCCATCATAAGTCACCTCCACCAACCCAGGTCATCCGCCACTTACTCGTGATTCTGGTTCTTTGGCCAAGAGGAAGAAATCTTCTTCTGGAGCAACAATGTGGAGGGTATGCCTGGAAAGAAATACCAAATATAAGAACACTGCATTAAAAATATTTTTCTGTTTCTAACCATGTAACAGAAGAAGAAAACACTTGGATCAATGTCTTTTCAGGAAATGATAATGACCTCTCAATTTGTCCACCAGCTTTTCTGCTCCCAAGTCACTTCCTTCTTTAAATTTTCTCATCCAGGAGTGAAAGCATGCATGCCATCAGGGGTGTCTGCAGGTTTGGTCAAAAAAGTCAAGATGGTGGCCATGCACATAAAACAAGTGGAGTTTCAATCACACTGCCACAACTGTCATCTTGACTTTTTTTGACCGTACTCTGTGGACACCCCTGCGTGGCATTATCTTCAGAAGGAAATAGACAAAACAGAAGATTGCAAAGAAAGGCCTCCAGCCGAGTTGGAAATTCAGAAAAACATGTCCTGTTTGGAACAGTTGAAGGAACAAAACCTATTAAACCTCTAGAGCAGTGTTCCTCAACCTTAGCAACTTTAAGATATGTGGACTTCAACTCCCAGAATTCCCCAGCCAGCATGG